TTTTCTTTTTTTAAAAAAGTACTTTAAACTGTATAAATAATGTAAAATTAAATTGATTTAAACAGCCAATCATACGATGTCTGCCTATGATATTAGGGTAGGGTGATTCAGGATTAATGTTCAGGTTACTGATTTCGAATTAAATTAGTGACGTATTTGTTAGTGTTTTATATAAATTCTATTTTTTATATATGATTATATATTATCAGAAAAATACATTTATTTCTTCCCTATTATGTAAATCGCTACGTAGAAAACAATTTGGCCTGTAAATTAAACCAAATATGTAACGTTTTTAAAAATTTAAATTAGTGACGCGTAATGTAAGTAATTTATTCGTGCTATTTGGAGTTCCATATTACTGTTTATAGCAATGTTTTTAATACTCACTAGCTAAATTAAATTGTAAAAATATTCATGAATTTAATTAATAAATAGGATCTCAAATCCCAATCCATTATTTTAGAAATATGACCGATGACGTATTTTTTTGCAACTTCCACAGTCGTAATTAAAGACGTGACCGATATGTCAACGTAATGTTGGAATATTATACCGTAATATTGGCTTATCATTATGCCGTAACTTCAGATATGTGACATAATATTCGATGATACCTAATATGAAGTCTAGAAAAAATGAAGTTAGATTCAAAACCGAAAGCCGGTCTGCTTTAACTATTTTTTCGAAAATAGTGAATTTTATTAATAAATCTGACATAATCAAGTTTTCATAATTTTTATTAATAGAACAATTAAAATTAAAATGAAGAATGACTTATAAATTATTAATTGTCGTTGGCCACTACCTACAGTATCCCACAAAAATAATACCCCCTATGATTAATTACTATCTACATAGTATGATATATCTCCCAAATATAGTACCAATAGTACCCACGGAGTACTATTCACTTTTAAAAATGGAGTTCTTTAATAAGACCCGGGTACTGTAGGCAGTGGCCAACGGTAGATGTTTTCTTTACATTCATTTGATTAGTATTTTTTGCAAATATACATATGTCGTCGATCGGCCTAAATTAAAGTAGGATTAGGGTGAAAATCATGGGATAATTTGGGGTAATTTAGGCCAATCAATGTCAATCAGTTAATGCTGGCCAAAAAATCGACACCTGAGGCAAATCGGCATGACGTAATTACTCATCTTTTTGACGTAACCATACGTCACCAAGTTTTTTCACCTCTCTAAACAAGAAAGTATGACTCAATAAAAACAACTTAATGTAATGATTAAAAGTTTATGCGTCAATTATTATTATATAAGAAAATTGATTATCCGATTTTGAAAAAATTTAACAGCCAATTTACTTTTATTGACCAGGATCACTAGTTCCCACACCACTAAACAAAGCAGAAGCTATTTTCTCTTTTTCTGGTGTCATTTTTGTCTTTGAAGTTACTGATGCGGTAGATTGTATCTAAAATATTGAGCAATTAAATTAATTAATAATATCAACTAAATTGAAAATAATTTGTTAGAAGATACTAAAAAAAGTCACCTTATCTGAGGCTCGTAAGGATGAACGGATATTACTCGTGTTGTATTTTATTGATCTTTTCCACACAAAAGCAGAATATTTTGGTTACAAATATATATAGAAAATATAAAATCAATTAAGGAATAAAAACATACTTATCACTTGTGTGATTCAAATTGTTTATAAATGAAATATAGATTTGAAAATCAATTATGTAATTGAATTAAAATAGAAATAAGACAAACTATTTATACCTTTCTGTGCTATTAATTGGCTTATATCCTGCGCGACTCCAACTTTGTGTGCTTGGTTGTAGCTTCATTTTTGGTATCGGTGAGATCATTGACTGGCGACTGAATGGGTTTAATCAACAATGTCAGTTATATGACGTATATATGTAAGAATATTTAGTAATGTCAAAATTAATACTTTGAATCAATTTCTTCATAATCACTATAATTAGGTTCTTGTAAGTCTGTCAGCAAATTTGTGTGTTCTTGTGGGTCTGTCAGCAAATTCGTGCTTTCATGCAAATTTTCTGGTGGCAAATGTTCTTGTGTGATTCCAAACCAAGCTAGCTGACCAGGAGTAACTGGTGGGCCTACGCCTCGACTGCTCTGATTACTTTGATCATTAAACGACAGTACATCTCTATCAGTTGCTGATAGTCTAGCATCAGTGTAGGTTGGCAGATTAGTCATTATTTTTTTGGGAAAATGTGGCATATCAGGTTTTTCATAAGCTTCATAACGAATTTCAGTCGCTGTTGATAATAAAAATATATATAAGAAAAAGTTTAATTAGCAATCCACATAAGGACGATAGTATTATTATTATATAGTAACCATAGCGCAATTTACTGTTTTTTATATAATTTTGAAAATTTTTTTCCTCTAAAGTTAAAATGTAAATATCTTATGAGTTACTAAACCAATTTTAATAATTTTTTACACTATATGTAAAAATGTTTTCTCTACATTATTGCTAGAAAAATTATAATAACTTGGTAAAAAAAATAGTTAGCTATGGAGGAAATGAAGATTTCATAAGGCCATACAAACTTAATAAATCGGTTCTCATAACCCGGCCGGGTCAAAATTTCCAAAACTCTAAAAAAAAATTTCAAGTATACTTACTATCCGGGTGAGTTTTTTAAAAAAAATCTAAAAAAATTTTATATGTTTTTTATATATAAAATTTTTTGAAAATAAAATTAAAAGCCGGGTTGCCGGGTCACTTTTAAAAATTTTATGTTATGAGAACCGATTTATTAAGTTTGTATGGCCTAATATATATTTTAATAAATATTTTTGTTAAATTATTAGTTGGTGAGCATAAGCTTTATTATATTTATTTTAAAATTATTGTTTAGTGATTCTTAAATTATATATCTTTATTTCTAAACATATATATTTCGATAAATGTTTTTGTTGACTTATTAGCGGGTAAGTATAAGCTTAATTTTAATCGGTTTAAATTATTTATTCCTAATAAATATATTTTAAAAACTTTTTGTTAAATTATTAGTGCGTAAGTATAAGCTTAATATAAATATTTTTTAAATTATTACTGTATTTGATAATTTATATGCATTTATTTCTAATAATAATATTATAATAAATATTTTTTTAAAATATTAGCCTGTAAGCATAAGCCTAATTATAACAATTTTAAAATTATTTGACAAATTATACATCTTTATTTCTATATACAGCATGTGTATTTTAATAAAAATTTTTGTTAATTAATTAGTTGGTAAGTATAAGCTTAATTATAATTATTTTTAAATTATTATTTGGCTATTTATGCATCTTTTTTCTAATAATTAATATTTTAATAAACGGTTTGTTAAATAATTAGTGAGTAAGTTTAAGATAATTATAAACAATCTTATAAATTATTATTTGGTAAATTATATTTTTTATTTCTAATAATATATATTTAATAAATATTTTATTAAAATATTAGGTGGTAAATACAAGCTTATTTTTAAAATTATTTGACAAAATACATTTTTTCTAATAACATATATTTTAATAAATATTTTTGTAAATTATTAGTTGGTATGTATAAGCTTAATTATAATTATTTTTAAATTATTATTATTTGGCAATTTATGCAACTTTTTCTAATAATTTATATTTTAACAAACGGCTTGTTAAAATTATTAGCTAGTAAGTATATACATAATTATAAATATTTTTATAAATTACTATTTGATAATTTATATATTTTTATTTCTAATAATATATATTTTAATAAATATTTTATTAACTTATTAGTGCGTAAGTATTATATCTATTTTTAAATTAGTATTTGACAATTTAAGGTGGATATGGGTATTATGGCGCAGTTAACTTTAAATGGTAATATCATGTGAAATAGAAATCAGAATCAAATGA